CCTATCAATTGCCCATGGAATTATGCTACGAAATTCCGCCTAGTTCCTCACTCTCTCTCTCTCTCTCTGCCACGCGTTTTTCTGCTCGTGTGGAGATGGAGATTGGCGATAGCGAACGGAATTCATAAACAATATTCTACATGAATTGTTGCGTCCTATCCTGTGTCTGGGTCCTGCTTCTGCCAAAAGCCACAGCACCGCCATTGGGTTTGTTTTTATTTTTGTTCTCCCAACACAGGATGTCCTCTTTGCCAAGATTGCTGTAGCTTTGATTAGCGAAAGAGCCCTATAGCAGGGGGGGGGGCAGTACCACCGAAATCATATCCCAATTTGACTTTCAAGCCGATAAGATCTGAAAAAGAAAGTCTTGCAGACTTGCGGAAGGCATCAGCCCCCAGCAACTTACCCCCAACTTCACACACGTCAATTCCCTCTACTTATTTTTTTTTGTCAGATTCCAGTGCACTTCGCTTCTTGGGGCAACCTGCGAGCAGCAGGCTCCTCCGTGAGAGCATCCTTTGATGCCACACTTTATGTAGCAGCAGTAATGGCGCTTTATTATTGGCTACGTTACCCGGACCCGGTTTCCCCCCAAAAGTCTGGGCAGAGGAGAGCAGAGAGAGAGAGGAGGCAGACCGGTACCTATGGCGAAAGAGGAGGAAAGAGCCCGCAGAGGAGCGAGAGCGAAAGCGAGCATTGGATGCTTTTGGTTGAGCGGCAGCCAATTTATATGGAAATAGATGCGCGGCACATTTTCAATGCGGATTTTCTCATCCCCACACAAGCCCGCCCCTTCCCTCCCCAGCTACTCATAGAAACAGACGAAAATCGATGGCCCTGGGAATGGAGGGTATAAACACGAGACTCTTAAGCGGAGTCTTAGCCAGCGCCCCGAGGCGGGCACGGAGACGGACACCGAGACATAAGATTACTTTTCTCGGGGGTCGGGGGTCGGGTGTTAAACCCACTCTACAACATTCCGTGCATTGGGCCACACTTCTTTTTTGTTCATTTTTGAGAGGGTGGCGGAGGGGGTGGGCCATATTTGAAACAAATTACGTGGCGAAAGGTCGCCGCTGCAGTGGCCCGGTGCTTGCGTCCGGGTCAAATGATGTAGCGCCGAAATGGTAAAATGGTAAAAATGGTCAAATATTCACGCCGCTGAACCGATTCCATGGCGCAAACTTCTAAAAATAGAAATACACAGAAACGAAGCAAATGGCACCTCAGTAAAAAGCTCGGCTGCCCAAAATTCAATTGAAGAATCGCAGCCAATTGGCTGACCAAAAATTCGCAGCAGTAAATACACTGAAAACAGCCCGTGAAACCCGTGAAGCGACACTGAGAAAACAATATTATAATAGATAGATATGGGGGGTAGCTGTAGCCAAATTAAATTTACATAGGAAACACATCCGTTAAGGTCACTTTTCTGATCGAAAATACATATATTTACATGCTTATATGTATATAAATATATACATACATTTACCCCATGCCCCGTGGGTCGCTTCCCACTTCCCTCATACTCTTTGGGTATTCTATGGTATAAAAAAAAAGCGAAATTACAAAGGCTACGTGCGTAGGTTAAAGCTCCTTACCATTTCCGCTTTCCACTCTACTTATCCCCCTGCCATCAGGCCATAAAAACTAGATTTTCTTCGACCAGCAAATCGCTACGGCAGCAAGTTTTCCACTTTTTCTACCCACAACCATATGGCCATTCCCATTCCCATTCTCCCATGCCATGCCATGGCCCGCCCAACGCTTCTCTATTGATCAAATCAATTACACAATCATATGCCAAGCTCAGCGGCACGCCTTGGTATACGAGTAGACCCGCCATTCTATATGTTCTGCTATACCCGTAGACTCTGCAGCAGAGCCCGAGCCCGAGCCCGAGCCCGACCCCGGCCCCACTGGCTACCCATCCGAGTTGGGTACTTCCCTTCATTCCATTCTGACACTTGCCACACAACTTTCAATCAAATCAACCGCGCCAACAATTACCCACACACCAGACACGAGCCAGGAGCCACGCACACACACCCATCGCCTACAGAACTCCCTAATAGAGTCCCCAACGCAGTCCCCAGTCCGCAGCGCAAATCAAGTGAAGGTTAAAGCTGGCTGGGAGCCAGCGTTTCAGGACGAAAAGGCGATAATGTTCGCCGCGAAAGTGAAATGGGATCTGACATGTTTCTGAGAATATCTTCGTGACAGGGAAAAATCTATTAACTTTATAGCCACCTTCCATTGGCCCTCATACAGGGACCACTAATCGCCGCTGCTTTGATTCTTTTCTTGTACTAAAACAAATTGCAATCTTTCCTTTCAAATCGAGCTATGATTTAATTCATTCAGAGCTTTCCAATAATAGATATACGAGTATGTGGCCGAGCCTGCTAAGAGTTCCTCAAGTTAATTGATTCCTGCCTGTAATTGTAATTGATTCCTGTCTCAAACCACAAAATCCTTGAATAATGTTTTATATTCTCAAAATTTGTTTGTCAAATTTTCGCATTTTTTCCAACATTTTTTTAACAGTCAGAGTGAGCGGAGAGCGTAGCCATGGGGGGGGCCGGTACAAACATTTTAATTAAATTTAACGCCTAATTTTGGTTGCAGTTTCAATTCCGTAAGCTGTCGACGCTTGATTCGAGGACCAGCTGTATGGGAAGCAGAACAAAAACGACATAAAACGAGAGATGATTTCAATCGGCGCTCCAACGAAAAGTTACAGCAAATAAAAGTTTCAAGTGTTTTCCTGAAAAAGAGCCCGAGTCGCAGGCCGAGTCCGAGTCCGAGCCCGAGCCCGAGCCCGATTCATGAAAGTTACTTGGGGACGTCATCCAGAAGTCAGGTGGGTGGTCGGAGCGGAGCAGAGCGGAGTGGAGTCAGTTAGTCGCAAGTTTAAATTGAGTGACATTTTGCCGCAATTGACTGTGCCAAAAGTTTTGCGGCTCGGTCAGGGCTTGGGCTGCAGCAGTCAGGCTTCCCATGCCCATTGTTCAGGGGATTCTGGGACTATCCATCAAGGCTGCAATTTGTATGGGGAATGGGGCAGTGCAGATAAGGCATGGACTGATAGAAAGTGACTGGCAACACGGACCCTGTTGCACGTTAAGACTGTCACTTGTGTGCCACCAGAGAATGTAACACATTGTGGCAAAGGATTCTGAGGATGAATGAAGGGTTGGCTGAACATCAATTACACCAAGCCCCCTGCGTGCGCCTGCCTGCCCAACCGAATGTGTGCATACATCTCTCTATCCCTTGCCACATATCCTTCTCTTTTTATGGAGCATTGTCTAAGGTTTCATATGGAACCAAAAAATGTAATTTTTATTGATTCGAAAGCTGCCCAGGAACTGAGATTAAGCCGTTGATGGAAAGTTGAGGGCTGACAAAAGAGATGCCGGCCCAGACCCGAACCCCAACCCGAAATGAACACCGAATATAATTTTGTCAAGAGAGAAGATTATCTTTGAGTCGTGTGCAGTCTGTTTCTGTGTCTGTGGCTGATTCTCTCCCGTGTTTGTCCATTTCCATGGTTATGGCCACTGTCGAATCCAATAAAATGTCAATCTGGAATTTTAAGCCCATCAACATTAGATAACTTATGGAGATACATACATATGTACCTTTATTGAAGGCATACGAAATATTGCGTTGTGAAAGCAAATGCCTCTTGAATGCCTTTTATAATGCTGTAAGTGCTGCCCGCGCTATCGTCTATCTTCGGTCATGACTCCTCGCACCTACCCATAAGTAGGAATTTTTTTTAATATCGCTTGGACATTTCCAAGCGATTATCCCAGCCGCACTTTTCTGCGATTCTCACTTTTCCCCTCGATAAGTGCGTGACTCTGCCCGGGTCCTGCCCGGTTCCTGCCCGCGTGCGCGTCCTTGTTCATGGCGGGGCCTGCACTTTTTCTGCTCCATTTGGCCTGAAATATTTTCAGTCATTCGCATTTATTGATTTGTTTTCTCCTCCTTTTCGGAGGGTCCTGGGCTATCCTACCATTTTTTCTTGGGTTTTATGTCGGCTAAGTTCAGTTCTGTTTGGTTCAGTCTTGCGGCGTTTGGTTTAGCTTTTTGGCTGCCCTTGACTTTTGCCTGGCTCGCTCTTTGTGAACACTTTTTGGCAGCCTCATCGCCTCATAGCCATAGCCATGGCCATGGCCAGTCGACTGACTGACTGACTGACTGCCTGAACTCCCGTCGCCCTGCCTTTGCCCTGTTATTGTTGGCTAACGGCTAACCAAGTAGTGAGTAGTCAGAGTTTCAAAATAGTTTCCTTTCTTTTCAATGTTTTGTTGTACTTTTATTTCGGTTTTTTTCCAAGTGACTTTTCTTCGTGTGGCTGCTCTGCCGTTGCATGAGGTCTGCGATTTTTTCCTTTACAACTGTCTGGCAAATGTTGCAGTAAACATTTCATGGTGTTGTTGATTGTAGGGGGGGTGGGGAGGGGTTGGTAATTCGGCTTTAAATGGGGAATCAGCACAGTTTGTCCCCGCGTGAAGGGGGGAGCAATGGAGCAGAGGGTAGGTGGTGTCTTTGTCGCTTGTGGAATCTCTGGGGGCGAACTCTAAAAACGCGCAGTAGGGTCGGTAAAAGTTAACTTCATTTTCATTCTCTTTATTGTAAGGAGCCCACGGATAAAATTGCATCAACAAATTGTGAAAAATCCTTACTCAATAAATCGTAGCCCTTACGAATCGATCTTGGCCAACTCGATCTAGCAAACAGAAATATTGAGACACACACACACAAAACTACTCAGTCCAAGGAGTTTGTTTAACTTGATTCAAATCAGTTTGGGTCGTAGGCAACACACAGGCCTCAGTTCATTTTTCCCCTGTGTTCGATTCGAGTAACATCCACATTTGCTACAGCTCAAATTATCAGTTTTCAGTTTTTTTTTTAAGTTTTTCCCATTTCTGGTACAGTTCAAAATTTTCAAGTATTCTTTTTTGATTTTTTTTGTATAGTTCTAATTTGTGTTTGACTTTTTTTTTTTGAAATGTCTATGATGCTCAGCGACGGGGGCAGCGTGTCGGGGGGCTTGCAATGCTCAAGAGGGCCGCAAACATCGAAAGCGTTCCGAAACTACTTGAGTGAATGCAAGCGGAAGTTTGCCCTAAATCAGGTCAATGTGGCGGCTCAGCGATGGCGGAAGATGTCGCTGGAACGCAGAGCCCGTTACCGCAAGGTGAGTTCTTTGTGCGTCTCAGTCCACCGGTCAGTGCAGCAGCAGCTCCCTTTTGGTGCCCACAGTCTGAGAAATCATCCGATGACGAGGGCGATGACGGGGACAGTTGCGGCAAACGAAGAAGGAAGCGGCGGAGCTGCTCACAGAGCAAGCGCAAGGCCAAGAAGTCCTCTTGCGCTAAACGCAGACGCAAGAAGTCAGCCTGCCAGAAACGCAAGGGGACAAAAAAAAGCTGCGCCAAGCCCCGCCGCAAGTCGCGCTCCTCGCGTAGGAAGTCAAAATGCTAAAGGACTGAGACTTTGAAGAAGACTGAGAAACAAAACCAACAAAACCACAAAAAACAAAATGCACACAGTGGGCGGAGGAGGCCGCGAATGAAACTCAACTTGCACCTGAAGAGACTCCATTGGGGAAGGAGTCGCGAGTGTATTTTCGCGATTTTCCCACATCTGGTGATGCCCAGCCAAAGAAGTTTCACAGTTTGGACAGCCCCCCCACCCAGTCGCACGACTCGCTGCCTTCCTCACTGAAACTCCGTCCCAAGGCGCCCTCGTCGTTGCAGCCAAACGCGTAGATATCGCCACTATGCATGCCCCAGGCGCAAAAATCCACAGGATTGGGGATGTTCTGCACCACAGAAAGACGCTTCCGCTTGTGGATATCCTCACCCAAGCCAACCCAAGCTGCCCGGTGTCGCCCGTGCCGCATACCAGCACGCTGCCCACAGTCAGGCGTCGCTTGGGTAGTTCCAGGTGAAAAACAATGTGCGCCCTTTTGGCCGGAGTGGGCTAGTTATCAGCCTCGCCGTGGCATTATTTTTGCTGTGATATTTCACAAATTTAGTCACAAAAACTAACACTGAAAAAATGTAAATGTACAAGCAAAATATATGTACATAAGGTTATGGAAACTACGGTGGTTTTAATGCGAGTGAAAACCAAATAGCGATAATAGAAAGATCTAGATTTTGACGGAAAATGCGCGGGAATCGGCAGCTGCCTGCGATATGACCCAGGTTGCACTCGATAGGCACGTTCACTCTCGACATATGCCCAGGGCACAAAAGATAGACTATTAATTATATATTCCGCTCCAGCACAGCAAAATCCCATCGGCTAAATTTTGTGATCCACCGAAATAAGAGGCATTTTGATCGTTTCCATACGAATATAATCCCTGTTTCGCATCTGAGTCTTCAACTAGTCTTCAGGCAAAGAGGGGTAGCATGAGAGACAGCTATTGGCTTTTAATCAAACAACTAATGCACTACACATACGTATGAGCAATAAATGCCGATAACCACCGATCAGTACATATTTGTAGGACACACCCCCAGTGCTTTTTTTTTTTGAGCTGTTGACAGAACAAGGACTAATATGATTTTGGATAACCCATGATATGTAAGTGTGATCGATCTGAAAGTCGCAGCTGATCCAGAGAAACAATTTCTTTTATTTCGTTTGCATTACAATTAATATTTGTTGGTTTTGTTCTTTTTGCCTAAATTGCGCTTTTATTTAGTTGGGTTTTGTTTTGTTTTATTTTTCTTGCTGAGCAATTTACAATAAACGCGGCTGCTTTTCGTAGTATTTTCCTTGCTTGTATGTAATAATATAGTTTATTTAATAATTATTGTTTGTCTGGTTGTGGTTGTTGCTGCTGCTGCTGCTGCTGCTGCTGCTGCCGAAGAACCCAAAATAGTTCTGCTTTGGTGTTTGGTTTATTGCGTGTGAGTCGCTTCTGCGCGTACAGTACAGTACAGTACAGTACAGTACAGTACAGTACAGTACAGTACAGTACATATGTACATACATACATATGTATATATAATATTTATTTAATTATTTGCATATTTGTTTAGCTGGAAATAGGCAAAACAAGTGGGTGCGGAAGCTTTGCCACGTTTTCTTTTTTGTAATTTTCGTTCACTCACTCTTTGTCTAAATATAGTTTACAAGGATGCCTTTATTATATAGTGTATATCTTCTAGTTTTAGTTTTATACAGAGGGGGTGGGTGCGGGTGGGTTAACAAAACAGGAAGGAACAGGCTGCGAAGAACATCTTACATACCATATACATACATGTATGTACATATATGTATATGCTCTCCATATTCTAGCAAAACATAACGACAAGAAGAAGCCAATGATGAAATCTGACAGATTTGGTTTTTGGGTTTTTGTTTTGTTGTGTTTTTTGTCTGGTTTCCTTTTAGTTAGACTATTTGCTGATTTCAAAATTGATTCAAGTTTCTACTACTGACACACAGACGCACATCGAGATATATGTATGTAGTATGTGTATATATGTATATATTGTACTTTATGTACATATCTATATGTTTAATACATACACATATGTATAGGCATATTATATATATATATTTATTATGTTCTTTGTTTAAGTTTTAGACACCATTTACAAACATACAGTTGACACCACTACAGACGGGATTCCATTATAATTAACATTTAATTCTGCTTTAATTACATTACACAAATATTTTCTTCTGTCCAAAAGTGGACAACGACTCCTCCTTTTACTTCTACTTCTCCTTCTCCTGCTCCATCTTCTTCTCCTTCTCTGGCATGTGCGTACATTTTGTGTGCATATTACATACATATGTACATACATATGTATGCACGAGTATTTCATATAATATAGTTTTAGTATTCTGCCTATAGTTTACTTTCCATTTGGCTTAATTCTAGCTCTAATTGCTACTCCAAAATGTGTGGAGACCTTCCCCGAAAATCAGCATGATATTAGTGTAAATTATATGCATACATACATGTATCATATATCATATATGTATAGATATAGATAGTTACTGGCTTATAGCTTAGGGTATTTCCCCAAGTTCCGAGAGACAGATAGAGACAGAGAGAGGGAGAGGGAGCTCGGCTGGAACTCTCAGCTGAATCGTCCCGGCTACCCCCCATTATTGTAAAGCTCTCATTTTTCTATATTCCCATCAGCTATCACCTCACCTTTGACCCTCGCTTTACCCTAAAATTCTAGTGTTCTTTTCATCCCCAGCTAAACTTCTCTCTCACTCTGTCTCCCATCTCAAACATGCAACATCTAAGACCCAAGATCAAGATCATTCTATACTATACCATACATTCATTCAAAATTACCCCCTCGCTCTCTTTCACACTGTGCACGAGTAAACGAAACGAAACGAAACGAAAAGAACAGAACAGAAAAACAGAAGTACAACGAATAAAATCCTACTTATATTTTTTTTCTTTCGTGCTACCTTCTTAGCGATATGTGAGTTGTGAGTTGTGAGTGCGCTTGTGTATGCTCAAGGCTGTGTCTGCGCAAGCGCATAAGCGCTACCGAGACTGCAACGAAAAGGAACAGAGCTGAAACAGCCCAAAGCAATGATAATGCTGCTGCCACACGATAAATCCTTCGCCGAAAAACGTGTCGTGTCACAGTTGTTGTTTAGGGAACTCGAAAAAGGTGGGGAATGCCGCCAATGCCAAAGTGTGTATGGTTGGGCGAAGGAAGTGTTTCTTACAGAAGCTGACTGACTGACAGGAATTATGTTTGATTGATTCTGATTTCTCTCGTTGGCTAACTTTATGTTTAGGTTCAAGGTTAATTTTCGATTTATTTGCATTTTAAGCTAATTACTTATGCGATTATAGTTCCTAGACTGCTTAAATGTTCTTTTTCCTAGGGTATTCGTTTTTCATATTCTCTTCTGCGATATCTCTGATCTTTTTTGATTTTTTTGTGGTTACAGTTTGACAATTCATTTGGGTTTTATTTGTTTTGGAATATCATTGTTTTTTCTTTACGTTAAGATTGAGTTTTTTTTTTCATATTTTTTGTATGTCTACTTTTTGCTTTGTTTGGTGTTTTCGCTTGACAATTGCTTGTTTTTTTTTTTTTTGTTTCGGTATGTTATTATTTTTTTTTTTTTTGCTTAAGTTTTGTACAATCTGATGTTTAAATATATGCATCATGTAAACGAGATTAAGGTGTCGGCGGTTTTTTTGGTGTTGGCTTGCTTCGCTTTCGTCTTTCGTCTTTGGTTTAAAATTTTTGTTTTGTTTTTGTTTGTCTCCATTTTTCAACATTCTCTGGCAGTTTCTTTTTCATCTTAAGTGGTGTTTTTTTCGTCGAGAAAGAAAGAGACAGGGTTACAGTGGGTACAGTTCGGAGCGTGGGGGGGGAGGAAACAGAGAAAGAGACAGAGACAGAGAGAGAGCTAGAAAGAGATATAGGATGAGGGAAAAAGGCTTTCAGGAGGAGGATGCGAAAGCATGGCATGGGAGACTGTGTAAATTGGAGGGGAAGAAGAACGAAGCCCCTGTCAAGGTCACGATGGGCACGTCGAGGTAACTTATATGTACAACAAATACAAATACAAAATCTCCGTAAACTAGAGCACGCGACACAGTGGCAAGTAATAAATAAGTAACATCGTTTGAATACATACAAATACGAGTATGAGTGTACCTGAATCGAGCATGTATCAAGTTCCCCTCCCGCCGCTTACATTATGGAGTTCTCTCTATATCGTAACAGACAATTGCCAACACTCCACTCCTTCTCCACTCCCTCTCGATATTTATATATGTCTGCTACATTTTCATTCCTTTCCAGTTCTAAGAAAAATGCTTCCGATCCGATCCGATGCGATCCCACATCTTAGCCAAGCGGCACGAGTGGCATGCCACGGAGTGTATCTCAACGCTTCACGCCAAACAGATTCGGTATGGACTTGATCTTCTTTCGCGAGCAGTTCAAGTAGTCCTTGTACATGTCAGAGCGCAGGTAGCGCGAGTAAGAGTCGCTCTTCATCAGGTGGTAGACATGCGAAGCGGCCACATCGAAGCACCAGCGATTCGGGCCGTTCGGTGAGTTGACCGCCTCCCGAGCCAGTTCCACAGACTTTGAGTCCACATTTACCGGGCAGGGGGCGTCGGGGGCAAGGAATTCCTGCCAGATCTTGTGTATAGCCTCTCGAATCTCGGACTGCGGCAATGCCTTCATCTCTTGCACTGACTCCCAGAACCTGAGCAGAAAGGCGCATATTAGTTTGCAATGCTAGATGGTACGGAGCATTAACATCTCTGTCACCCACTTCAGATTCTCTCCGCTGTACTCCTTCTCCAAGAACTTGGTGAACTGATCACGTCCGATGGCATCGTTCAGCAGCTCCCGCAGACTGAAGGCCCAACGCTTAACGCGGCGAACAGGAACTTCTTTGCTGTAAATGAGAGACATGAGAGACAAATGAGTAGAGATCTAAGTGTATGATCTATGATCTATGATCTATGATCTTACCTATTCTTCTCCGTATCCCACATCTCTGTGCTGTCGGTTTGCCAGGGATTTGGCAGCTCGGGTGAGGTTATAAAGTAATCGAACTCATTGTACTGATCGTAGTAGGCAACCAAACTGCGAACCACACAAATTCTGTATTAAACGAGCTGTGAAATGTGGGCCAGCACTTACGCCTCGGCCGCCTTTGACACTTTGATCGTGCGCCGCTCGAGCTTCTGTTTGCGCAGAGCAATGATCCGAGACAGCTGCTCGACGGGATTCTTGGCTACGGATGCGCCGGAGGAACCAGTTCCATGGCTGGAGCCACCGCGTCGGTAGGCCTTCTTGATGTCGATCTCCGTGGTGTTGACGCAGCCCGGCATGGGTCGGTGCACGTCCCAGAAGGCGCGCTCCTGCGAGTCGAGCACCTTGCGCTCCAGCTTGTCCCGCTTCTTGGCCACCTTGCTCTGTGACTCGGCCTTTAGGGGGGTGGGGAAGAAACATATAGAAACATAGATAGAGAGAGAGAGGATTGGGGCGCAGTTTCATATCGATACTTACCTGCATGAAGATAAACTCCCATTTGCGGGAGAACATCTTCTGCAGCTTGGCCAGATTCTCTGCCTCGTAGTCCGCCAGTTCCAGGCGCGTCTTGTTCTGCATGGTACGCTTGCAGAGGTACACCGCATAGTCTGTGTTTTCCGGCTCCCAGCAGTTCGAGGGCCAAAAGTAGGGCGTCTGAAATCTGGAAAAAAACAAATTATGATAGCTGCCGAAAAGCATGCTGTGGTCTTGGACCGCAAACCTGTAGAAGGTGCCGTCGTTCTTCACTGTCAGCGCATGATCGTCGATGGGAAAGATGTAGCCGTGCGAGCTGAGCAGGTGGGCAAAGTGCAGGGCCTCCGGCACATCCTCCACATCGAAGTTCTTTAGTATCCAGGCGACCAGATCCGCGCCCGTGAACACCGACGGTACCTTGCTCATGAATGCCTTCACAGTGCGCACGGCCACACCGGTCGCCTCCGCCTGCATCTTCTCAATGATGGTTTCCATCTAGAGTTGGACAATATTGCTTTCAAACGAATGAACTATATTCCCAGTAAGAACTACTAACCTTTTTGTACACGAGTATGTTGGGTGCATCTTCGTTCTTGTTGCTGCGCTGGTGCTGTGACGACGACTGCATGACCACTGTAGACGGCGCCGCCTGCTGCTGCTGCTGCTGCGACGATGACGACGACGACGACTGCTGATGGTGGTGATGATGGTGATGATTGCTGCTGACTGTCAGCAGGCCGCTTGACTTGCTAGCGGAGCCGCCGCTGACCCCCGCCGAGTTTGTGGTGTCGCGGACATTCACCGTCTTGGCCGAGGGCGGTGGCGTGGCAGCTGCCGCCGATGTGACCAGCCCTCCCCCTCCGTTAACCGTTGCTCCTGCTGCTGCTGCTGCTGCTCCTGCCGCTGCCGTTGTGGCAACTGCGTTGGCTGAGCTTGTGGTGGCCACCACCACTTCCTCGATTTTGGCATTGCTGTTGCCATTGGCCAGAACTTCGGGGGCAGGAGTGGGAGCGCAAGTTTGAGTTGTAATAGCTTGAGCCGGAGCCGGAGCAGGAACCGGAGCTGGTGTCGATGTTGCAGCTGGTGCGCTGCACTCTGCTGCTGCTGCTGCTGCGGCTGCGGCTGCTGCGGCTGCTGCGGCCGTGGCCGTGGCTGTTGGGGATGTTGGTAGTGGACTAGTGCTCTCCGCGGCTGGCTGTTTTTCGGCGCTGCTCATGGCCAGGGTGGCATTGGTTGCTTGTGTTTTGTCTGCCTCCGAGTTCATTGTTACCATTGTACAACCAGCCTCAAGTCCTGGACTCGGCGAAGCTCAAGCTAAAGCTATTTATAATCGCCGTGCTGCGTGGGAGCCGGGTAGCGTAGGTGCTGAAGCAGGGGCGAAGAACGGGGGGGGGCCCTGAGCTATTTTGGCCTCCTCGTTGTGTGCGTGTCCTGTTCGTATCCGTGTGTGTGTGTGTGCGTGTGTGTGTGTGTGGCTGTGTTTGTTTCTGTTAGCGAAGGGACAATGCGATCTATTTAGTTGCGGGGGCGCGCTCCTTGACGAAGAAGTTCCACAAGTTCACCTGCTGCTGCTGCTGCTGCTGCTGCTACTAATGCTGCTGCCGGTCATTTCCTTGATTTTCCTTCCATCTTAACGAGATTTTCGCTGCGCCTTGTGGCGAGGCTTCCGTTTTCTTCGTCGCTTTCGCCGCTCCTATGCTCCCTTCCTACCCACGATGTGCAGGAATTTTCAGGAGTTACGGCAAGGCTCAGGTCCAGGCACACACACGCACACACACACGCACGCACACGAACATACACCTCCGCCGAATGGGGGGGGGGGTGTGGCGGGCTCCGACTTGGGTTTTATTATATTTTGGGGAATTGAATTGTTACTCGAATGAGCTGGTATTATTAAGCAGTTTAATTTGCAATTTACTGGGGAGACGACTCGCACTTCTGGGTTGGAACCTCTGCCGTTTTCTGTTCTTTCTGCTGCTCTGCTGCTTCATTTGCTGTTGCTCCGCTGCTATCCCGCTCTCATTTTCACTTGCAAAATCTCTCTCGCTGCGACGCTCGTTCGCTCGCTCGCTCTCTCTCTCGCTCTCTCTCAATCTCTGAGCGTGTAGTTTAGCTTTCGGCCTGTAATCATTTTAAGGCCCAAAGTCAATTCAAGTGCCTGTGTAGGTAGGTCCTCGTCAAGGGGAAGGAAGGCCTGCTTCGTGCCTGCCTTCCTGATAGTATGGTTCCTCATCGATTTTTGTGTCAAGCCTCCCCCAATTAACCTGCTCAATGGCTCCTGGCTGCTGGCTCTGCTGGCTCTGCGGGCTCTCTCGCCGCTCGAGTGCGCGTGTGCGGGACTTGTTTACATCGCTCAGCTGTTAGGGTTGCCAGATGGTCGCACACGGCAATGACAATGACAGTTGAAGTTCTAAATTTCAATTCGATTCGCTTTATTTCGATAATAATATTTCTCGTCTACAAATAATTTTCTTTTACTACAATTAACAAAAAAAAAAAAATAGAACGTACATCCTAACTGTGTAATTATTAATATATATGGTATATTCGTACGATTATGTATCATTTTTTTTTATTATTGTAATTGCATAGCGTGATTGTTGCAGCGTTGCTATTAGCTTACTGTGACCTTAGTTGTTATGGCTTTTATACAAAATTTCGCATTGATTTTGGAGACAATAAATAGTAAATATATGTATATAGCGTATATGGTATAGCAAGTGTGTGCATGAACGCGATTGAACAGAAATTAACGGCTAAGCAAAGGAAAATCAAACAAACAATTCAATTATCCTATTTTTTTTGTTCCCCCTAAACTAAGTTTTCTGTAACGCACAAATAACTTTCATCGATTATTTTGCGTACACTTCATCGTTATGTACATAGGTTTACGAATATATATATATATATATATATATATATATATATATATTGCATATTGTTATATATAGCACATATGTATATATGTATGTATGTATGTTTGAATATTAGTTTTGCTAAAAGCCTTGAAACAACCCTGCAAGCGATAAGCGATATACCGTTGCTTGCCTGTCACTGGGTCGTCGCCCACACCATACACCGCCACTCCACACATCGTTCACGAAAATGAGGCGAGTGAACGTGCACAGGCTCTCAAATTATAATTTATCTTAAATGACCAGCTCTACATAATATAATAATAATTATTTATAGCTGGGGAACCCAGTTTAAAAAGATTGAAAAGGAATAAATCGAATAAGAATCGCATGGAATGAACAAGTTTGGTTCTCTCTCCCCTCCCCATTTTCCCCATCGCATTTTATTCCCCAATGAAGGGAAGGGCGGGGGAGGAGCAATGGGAGCCTGAATCAGGTGTGCTGATGTGGTTGCAGTGGAAAGAATAAATGGGAACAAAGTTCGTTTAGCTGCAAAGCTGCAGCTTTGGGCATTAGTTCGTCCATATTGGCTCCATCTTGGATGAGCACTAAAACTGTCCCTAATTATCCCAGTGCCACTGAAATGAAATACTTTGGTCGGAATGGAGAACTTTGAATACTTGGATAGAAGCGAAAACGAGGCATCAGCATCAGCATGAGCATGAGCAATACTTCCATTTTATTTTGGGAAATGCTGGGCTTAGTTGTGGATTCTCCTCCCCATAGATCACATTTTGACATTACGCTTATCAATGACATAGAAACCATCTTCATCTCCGTCTGCTACTGCTGCTGCTGCTGCTGCTGCTGCTCCGTAAACTGGGCACGCGGCTGCCGGCCCGGCTTCTCCCGCTCCGACCATAGCGGACCTCCTTGGCCCTGGCCACTCTGGGCCTGGTAGGACAGCGGCGGTAAAGGTGGCGCTGCCAGCTGGGCCTGTGGCACCAACTCCGCCTGGGAGTTGAACTGATTGTTGGTGTTGTAGTTGACCAAAATATCACCGGCCAGGCTGTGGCCAATGTTGACGGCCCTGTCCGGATAGGACTGCGCCTGGGGATGCACCTGTATGGGCTGCGACTGCTGCTGGCTCTGCTGGGGAGGATGCTGCGGCTTGGTGCGCCAGTGCTTGTGCTGGGCCACAGGCACCAGACGGTAGAGCGGCTCTCCGGCCGGGGCACTCGGGTAGCTGGGCACGAAGTACGGCGGATAGGGGTGCAGGTGCGGATGGGCGTGCGGATGCTTGCTGCCTTGACGCACGCGCTTGAACTGGGGCGGAGGACGCTGCCAGAACTGCAACGTGCCCGTCTGCACTGGGGCAGGTGGTCGCAGATGGTGGACCTGATCCTCCACGTAGTGTGGTCCTGGCCCTGGGGTGCTGAAGATTTGCGAGTCGTAGATCTGCTGCTGCTGCTGCTGCTGCTGCTGCTTACCCACCCTAAGCTGCCGCTCGGGTAGATAGGAGTCCTCCGTGGAGTCCAACTGAAGCTGCTGCTGCTGATGTTGCTGCTGCTGCTGCTGAAGCTGCTGCTTGCCAACCCTCAGCTGTCGCTGGCGGGACGGAGGAGGCTGATATACGATGGCCTTGAAGGCATTCTGGTCCTGTTCGTCCGCACTGTAGTTGACCATGGGCAGGAAGGGCTGCTTGTCAAAGTCTGGCGGATGGAAGCGACCCGATCCGACAGCTGCTCCTGTGGCTGCTGCTGCTGCTGCTGCTGGTGCTGCCGATATGAGGTTGCTCCTCAGCAGCTGCCCCAAGGCGGCATCATACTCCGCACTCAGCTGAAGCTGCGCGTTCCGCGGCTTGGGCGTGATATTCACCACATCCGTGACATCGTTGGCCGGACTGACCGATGCCTTGTAGTGCAAATGGTGTTGCAGGTGATGGCGCTTCGGCGGCTTGGTGGGCAGGAAGTCATCGATAACATTGGACTTGATCGAGCCCGGCTGGCGCTTGGCCTCGAAGTACTCGTAGTAGATGGGATTGGACTTGGAGAGCGGCGGATCTGCATCCTGGGCCTTGCCCTCCGTCGAACTGGACACGAACACCAGCTGCGCCTGGGGCCGGGGCGTGTAGTTAATGGGGTAGATGGGTATGGGCACGGCCACGGGCACCGGCACCCGCTCCACGTACTTGGGCGCAGGGTGGGGCTGGTGCTGGTGCTGTGGCTGGTGCTGGCGAGGGGGAGGCGGCAGGTAGCTGATGGCATTGTACTTGGGCTTGTACGATGTCCTGAGCGGCAGTGGAGTCGTGGCTGGACGTGGCGTGGTTTTGCTGGTGGTGGTTGGGGCTGTGGCTGTTGTGGTGCTGGTGGTGCTCGTGCTGGTGGTGGTGGTGCTGCTGCTTGTGGGTGGTCTGCGAGTGGTGGTGTCCAGGCGACTGAAATGGTCCGGCGGAGGGGGCAGGACAATGCCAGGAACTAGCGGACCCGGCGGCACCAGATTTGAGTAGTTGCTTTTGTACACAAAGCTGTAGGCCGGCGGATAGTAGAGCGAGGGATCGTCCTCGTCGAAGTCGCTGCCATTGCCAGGAAGTACCGCTGCATTCGCAGCCAGGGAGCCGTTGGCGTGCAGCCCGTTGATCAGCCAGGGCCCCAGCAGCGGCGGCGACGATCTCAGCAGGCCATTGCCCGGGGTCGTTTCGTTGGGGTAGAGCAGCCACGGGGCATAGGGTGCCGGATAGACGTAGGGGGGTGCAGCTGCTTTAGGCGCTGTTGCCGCTCCCGCCCGGGCAGCAGGATGCGACGCGTGGGCCGCGGCGGGAGCGTAGCCCTGGTGGGGCGCTTGTTTGGACGCGTCAGCGGATAGCGTTGCATTGCCAGGCGCCGAATGGAGGATCTCGAGCTGATTATCTCGGATAAGCTGCAGCGGCCCGTGCGGCTCGAGCTGCACGGGAAAGGGAGGCGGCACCGCTGGATTTGCCGGCAGCTTAATTTGTCGCGGCGGCGCATCGTAGTCGTCAATGGCCGGCCACTGGCCACCGCCGCCGCCGCCCTCATCCTCATTGAGGCTGCCGCCCTTGATAACGAGCAGGTGATCCTCGGCCAGCCAGATGTCCTGCTCGTTGAGTCCCCCGTAGTTGCGTTCGTTGTCCAGCGGCACCTCGGAGTTGCGGGCATAGCTGAGCACCCCTGGCCGCTTGGGTATGCGCCGGAAGAGCTCCTTCTCGATCAGCCCGTACTTGCCATCTCTCACCTGGTCGGCCAGCGTCTTTTTTCCGTCCTCCTTGAACGGCTTCTTCGACGGTGCTTCTGCCTCTGCCTCTGCTTCCTTGCCCGATCCCGCACTCAGCCGGAGTATCCCGTTGTCCCAGTTGTCAAAGCTGTCATCCGCTTCATTGAGCAGGGCCTCATCATCGTCGTTGTCATCACGATAAGGCGGTGATGGTGATGGAGATGGAGATGGCTTGGCAAGACGATAGCTGCTGCTTGCCTTGCCCTTGCCCCGCAACGCTGTTGGCTGCCTCGACGTGGCTGTGGATCTGGCTGTGGTCGTGCTTGGCTGGGAAGTGGAGGCCGAGTGTGAGCTATTGGCACTCACCGCCGACACCTCGTAGGTGGAATGGCCCTGTGCGTTCTGTATGTGTCCAGCCACCAATCTGTGGATCATGCGCGGCCTGTCAACGAATGGAAATTGTTTAGAAATTTATCCCAAGCAAAAAATAAAACAATAAACAATAAAAGCCACCCAAAGCACTATAAAGGAAATCTTCAACAGAACAAATTGACAAATACCCCCGTGAAAAATAATGAAAACGAGAAGGAACGTGTGAGTCGCTTCTGGGAACGCGACTCTACTTATACCCGTACTCAGTCAGTGTATACATTTTTGAGCTTATGATTTTTAGAATTTTATAATTAACGAGAAGGAACGTGTGAGTCGCTTCTAAAGACGCGACTCTACTTATACCCGTACTCAGTCAGTAAATACATTTTTGAGCTTATGATTATTTAGAATTTTAAAATTACAAACAACATTTTACATATTACATTTTTTTGCTACATCTGTTATCTACATATACATATAGAATGTATATTTTACATCTAACATGTAGATTGTACATGTACCATTTATATTCTACATCTCCTCCGCTAGGGGTTGCTCGCGCACTGAACGCGGCAGAGTGTGCGAGCGAGAAAGGGAATGGGTAGCGTGTCTCTGGCAGGGTGAGGCGGGGGAAGCAACTGAAAATTATAATTGCGTCATTCTGGCTATAATTATGATCCGATCTAATTCAGATTCAGCAGTCTGGTAGATAATGGCATTCTCTACGATACTGAGTTTTTAGTTTTATCGTATCTTTAAAATTGTGCCTGCCACAGATTTTCGTCCTTTGCGGGGGCGGGGCGAAATTTTGAAATACACTTGTAGCAGTGTGATATCACATGAGCCCGGAAACCAAATTTGGTTGCCCTAGCTCTTATAGTCTCTGAGATCCAGGCGTCAAACAAGACGGACAGACGGACATGGCTATATCGACTCGGCTATTGATGCTGATCAAGAATATATATACTTTATGGGGTCGGAAACGTTTCCTTCTCTGCGTTGCACACATCCACTTTTACCACAAATACAATATACCCCTTTTTATCTTTTTGAGTACGGGTATAATAATTAATACGTATATTTTGGGTCTTATTTGGGAGCTAGCGGAACATACTGATAGTGGTTCAATCCTACAATCTCTACCAATGGATTGCTTACAAGATTTTGTAGCTCTCAGACTCACGTTTTTAATGCGCCGCCGCTGCGAGAATCCACACTGGAGGTTGATGTAAAATTTGAAGATGAATAGGCGACATGGCCATGTTCAGTGGGCAGGGAGCTGGCTTTTCCGGGGGGGATGGGCAGAGCTTGAGGCTGGCCCCAACTGCGGCTGATGCTGCTGCTGCTGCCACCAAATTCGCTGCTCAGTGCGGGCGTGTCGCGGGGCTGACGAGCACCTCTTACGCTTCCCCGGTCCCGCAGTGACCGCGCCGAAGGTGCCACTGTTGTCGGCGGAGTTGTTGTCGTTGTGGTACTGAAGCGGCGACGCTGCTGCTGCTGCTGCTGCTGCTTCTTGTCTGCAGCTTGTGGCAGCGGCGTGGTGGGGATGGGGGTGGTGCTGCTGCTGCTGCGACTGAGACCCCGACTGCGACTGCGACTCGATAGCAACGGGATTTCAATTGATTGCGTGGTGGGTGGACGACGCTGTCGGGGCGCCCGCAGCGTTGGCACTTCAGTGCTAGTCGTGGATGCTGTCGCCTCTCCTTCGCCCTCTACTCCTCCTCCTCCTCTTACTGCTGGCGCCACTCCTCTGATCCGCTGCCGCGTTGCTGCGGTTGCTGTTGCCGCCACCGTTGTCATGGCTGCCGCCGCCAGCAGAGCTATCACCATCAAGTGCAAGGTTAACGATGCCATCTGCGAACGAAAACAAAGATAACCGACAACATTCAGTATGGAGTTTGGTCACAGACAATATATGTAACAATAAGATGCGTAACGCCATGCGAAATTTTGGCACTAATAATTTTTCAGGCTTGCTCTAGAGCTGGCTCCAGGCTCGCTCTCTCTCTTGAAATTTTGTTCAAAAATCAGAGAGAGAGAGGCAGCCGCTCTCTTGTATGCATACAGCACACGAAGTTGGTTCTCTGCCGCTGCGGCAGCCGAGTCGAGTCGTCGCGACGACTGTATGTGTGCACACGTATTCTCTCAAGCATTCTAGATCTTCCTGCATGCATACGGTTGTTTACAGCCTGTCAGAATATACCCTTCATTTGAGAATTTGTATATAGTGGTATGACACTTTTCATAGACGCTTGTTATACAATATCAAAAATCGTATAATGCTTGTATATATTTTATGTGCAGTTTGTTTTAAAAATATACATGCGTGCAGGCAGATCTAGAATATGTTGTACGGATACATACATATGTATGTAAATATGTATATGCTATGCCCATGGGGTTTCGACATATCTCCGGGCGACATATCTCCTAGCAGGCCCTAACGACATATCTCCGCACGGAGACATCGTTTTTGAAACGACATATCTCATCGCGGAGTTTTGCGTCATATCTCCTGGAAGGTCCTAGCGACATACATATGTGTATCTCCTGCTGAAAAATGTATGGCAGGAGATATGTCGCCCGGAGATACATATGTCTTTTTCCCCCCAGGACTGAGTTCATTATATGTTATATGTAAATGTTATATGTACTATGAACTAGGCATGTAAATATAATATATTATATTGTGGATGAAGATCACCATTTACGAATTAAAATGGGGCTCCTAGCAACTGTCTTACTGGCTTACCGTTTTCCTTTCTTCGTTCTTAGTTGTTTCATTTCAGAATTTCCCATGACCCCGAGTACTTACTCGTACGTACATACATACATAATATGTATGTGGGTATATTTTTTTTGGCAAAAGTCGTTTGCTCGGCAGCTTTCACGGCATGGATTTCTCCGGCGGGGCACTCTTACCTACCCGGCACTTGTCATTAGCAGCTAATACATTTCAGACACTCGACTCTGCTGTGACACATGGGAACACCTGGCCACGCCCACCTGACAGTTTGCTGCCCATTGTTGACGGCGGGAAAGTTGTTGTCGGGCGAAGTCTTTGTTCAGTTTTGCGATCTGACATTTGGCCCCCGTCGCCACTTGGCGAGCGTCTCTGCCACGTGGGATTGTGGGATTCACAGCACTGACTTTTCTCGCTTACAAATTATTCCATTGAGTTGGGTAGGTCTACATATGTACGAGAACTTGGGCCTGTCCAGCCATCATCGATGCAATCCAATCGAATCCAATTGAATTCGATTCCAGCTCAGCTCTGCCCGTCACTCGACGCCCCAAAAACGGCGAAAGCGAAATCAAGGACAAAACTTTGAACAAATCGAATCATAAATAACATTCTACTTTTGTTTTCATAGCTGTCGGTGGGTATTATTCATACGCGCCGCGGCTAATTGGCCAAAAGCTGCAAGAGCGCGACAGGTTGAAGACTTTTTCTCCCCCCACCGCCCAGTTCTTTTTTGTTCACTCATTTTTCAATATATCGTATTTTTTTTTGTTATTGTTTTGGGTCTTTTTAGAGCGTTGGAGGCGCCCACAAGTGCAGGCGCTAAGCTCTAAATGCCTGTTGTTGGGCGCAGTTGCCAAACCCGAAAAGACAGCTAAAAAAAAAAAAAACTGAGACTGAAACCGAAACCGAAACCAAAGCCAGCAATAACAGCGCAAAGTGCAATAACAATAGCAGCAACAACAACAACAACAACAAAAACTAGAAACAATGCTAGCAACAAAAACACACAAAATAGAAACAATCAAATGGAACGTGATTCGAAACCGAAACCCAAACCCAAACCCCAGCCGAGACAAAAACTTAAACTAAAACTGGACCTGGAGTCGGCTCGCGACGTGGAGAGGAATGCTGTGGGTCTTGTGTATCGTGTGCCTGTCCAGTGCGCTCCAATTTTAGCCTTTATTTTATTTTGTATTTTGTATTTTATTCGTAGAACGGTGCAACAACAGCAACAACAACAACAAAAATTCGGCGGCAGCAGCCAAATTGTTGTTTGGTAATCAAAAAAGAAGTTAAAACAAAAAACTGCCCAACAACAACAAAATACATAAGTAGGAGAGCAAACATTTTTCACAAGACAACGACGTTTGATTGCTCTGGAAATTAAATTCCCAGTAATCGATGGGGGTTGGGCGCAACTAATAGTCTAAGAATTTCTGAAAAATACATATTAAATTAACAAAGGAGCATAAGTAAACAAATTAAACGATAAACGTACTGCTAGAACTTGGCTTGTTAAATGCCTTCGGATTTAATTAGAGAAGAAGTCGAGTAGAACTAGTTGGGATGGGCTAATTACATGTTAAATTTGCTAGAAATTATATTTTTCGGTTGGGTCATTCCAGTAGTTCATGTACCGCGTAGAAGTTGCTCATTTTCAGTGTAGAGCAACCATAAACTGTAAATAATGAAAACTGTTTGCGTGCGCTGCTGCGGTCGCTGCCTAACGGTGCCTATAGTGCCCGAGCGTTCCACTCCCCATACCCGCCTCCATCACCCCGATCCCAATCCCAATCCCCTCTGCTGGAAGGCGGTCAAACAGCGTCGCCATCAGAGATTCGTCATAGAGCGACCACGTTCCAGGCCAAGCCTTGGAGTTGCCGCAGGCGACTTGCAGCCATTCCATGCATACCCTAGCCAAGGGTACTTCAACTACTTGTCATAGAAGCTTATATTCTCTATAAATATGTATATCCCAGTATTATCAATTATGTTCATGGAGCATATACTTCGGTACGTACGGGATATGTCCGGATAAGTCTTCTATATCCCAAAAAAAAGCTTAGCGGATAGGTACATACCCGCTAGGGTATTTGCAGTCGTTGCAGCTCGTAAGTACATAAATATATAAGTATTTTTTTTTTGGCTTTTGCATTTTGAATGAAAGGCAACGTCAGCCAAGGCAGCGCTGTGCAGCGGCGGCGGCGCTGTCTCTGGCTATTGGCAATAAATAATTCTTTGCTGTTGCTGCGCCTGTTGGTTTGCTTAAATTTAATTAGTTTATTTGAAAGCAGTTTGGGGCGATGGTGTCATAGATTAAATTGGACTCAATTCATTTTCATTCCCTCTCTGCCACAGTTGACTCGTATTTGTGCTCTGCCTTGTCTCTTTGGCCAATATTAACTAATTGTTCTTTTTTACCCGAATTACTGCTGTGTTTTGGATTATCTGATATAATTTACCAAGAAAAATTTGTTTCCGCAATACTTTCGAACAAGTTCGAGCCCAATTGAGAACTGAATTGAGAGAACAAAAAATACCTGAATTATACCTGATGAATTGAGAGTTGTCAGAGACATAAGTAGAACCCTAATATTCGCTTTGCTCTAATTAATCGATGCCCGAAGAACAATGGAAGTAGCCAACCAAGTCCATGACAATGAGCCACCAACATCAAAATTTCAATAATAATACGCAATAATATTTCATTAAATATTTGTTTGAATTAAATTTGGGGGATTTAGAGCAGAGAAAGAAATTCCCGCTCTCTGTTATTGTGCAACCAAATGAAATGGGCCAGATACAGATGTATGAAATGTTGTAAGTTCGGTTGGGCGTAACTAGCAAATCGAATTGGAGAGAAGGTTAATCGCCGACGCGACGGTGTGATTGATAGGAAGGGAAAGGGAGCCTGGCCTGGCCAGGCCAGTCTGCTGGTGGATTGTATTAGATTAATGGATTATGATGGTTACAGTTGAAATCTGTAAAAAGTAAACATATATGTATATTTAAGCATTACACTGATAGAAAAAAGGCATAGTAAAAATAACTACAATCATATTTGAATTTAAAATGCCATTTTTAAATACAAACATAGTCAAATTTAATAGAATTCACTTTGATTCAAATATAAATGTATTAAAAATGCTTTTTAATACGGTCATATTAAATTAAATACAAAACACTTCAAAATAACTATAATATATTAAATTTGTAGTTTAATATGTTTCATATTTAAATTGAATATTATTATGACTTGAAAAAAAAACAAAGAAACAAATATTTTTTGTATTTATTTTAACTATGTTTTATTATTTTTTTATGTCCCTCGAATTCCCACTGGTTCCAGCTGCTGCAGCCTTGAATACACAGTAAAATTATCTTAGCGCAGGGGCATAATCACAACCAATGCAGTTCTACTCATGTTGCGATTATTTCTAGTTGAAAACTTTAACCAATTCACACCATGAGGACTTGAAATGTAATTTGCGTACGCAAAATAATAACCAATTAGTTAAAAATGAATATAAATATAAATATGAAACATATTAAATTTGAATATAAAACATATTAAATTTAAATATGAAACATATTTAATTTAAATATGAAATATATTAAATTTAAATATTTCTATATTAATATCAAAATTTAAGTGAAAAATATTCAATTTTAATACAACCACTCTTGGATGAAAATCAATGGCATAAATATTTAAATCTAAGTGAAAATATTAAAATTTCAGGGCTTTTTTCTATCGGTGTACTTGTATGTGGTAAAAATAATGGGTGGTCACTTCAACGGGAAAATCATTGCAGGAACAAAAATACAAATTAACATTTCAGAAAAACCAAATAATCAGAAGATCCTTGCAGAAATTTTTTTTATATATATTTAACTCCATATACCAAAGTAACTAATAGAACGTTCTTGGCTGGATCAACTTAGTTAGCCATGCACATATGTACGTACATATATATTGTATGAGAATACATGCATTCCGACGACTCAACACAATATAAATAACCCTGTGCTCTGTGGCTCTACGAGTGACACCAGGAGGCGTCACTGTGGGGGCGAACTACGCCACAATGGCCCACTCCCCCCTGCAGCAGAAGTCCAGCAACTGCTGATGCTGGGGCATGCGGCGCAGGTTTCCCCAGTCGATTGCCGTGGCACAATCGGTGACTCGGTTACTTGGTTACTTGCTTTGCATACTATACGAGTACGAGTTCGAGTATACTCGTATTTGCCGCCAAAGAACCGGGCGAATTTTGCGGCATAATATCTGTGCTATTTGGCTCTTGGCTCTATCGGTGGTACCTTTCGTTGGCTGGTGCGACGGTTGCCCGAAATGGTCTCGGGAATTTTAAATAAATTCGATTTACTCATAGTTGTGCAACATTTTACTTGACTTTACTTTACTTTGCTGGACTTTACTTCTCACTCTGACACTGTGTCGGTCGGAGCGGCCACAACTTTTACCGTAAATTTATGGTATATTACACTAGTCAACACGACATTTAGGCTGTGGCCCATAATGACTTTTTCTTATAGATTTCGAGGTTTACAAATTTTTAAGGAATTATGGTTTAATTTTTTTTTTAAAGAACTTAAAAAAAAATATGGTAGTTTTTAATGTTTTTCTATTTTCTATTTGCTTCTATTTTTCAGAATATGATCGAAAATTAAGATAAGGTAAAATTGGGTCGAATTTATAGCTGCATTTGTCAGCTTTTCAGAACTGCAAAGTTCTATGCAACCAGATACTTAAGTTATATGAAAAATAGAAGAAAAGAACAGAATAGAGTGAAGCAGTGGTAGCTCTGAAAAAAAACCATGAAAAAAAATACCAGATTTTAAAAATCCTTAAAACAAAATTAAACCATAAAAAAAAATAATAAAGTACTACAAAAATTTGTAAATCCCGAAATTTATCAGTTAAAATCATTATGGTCCACAGCGGAAAGAAAAAGTACAATTTTGTTGAGTAGTGTAATTAATGCAACGAATAAGTAGAAAAACACACACCAGTTGGAGATGGAGACACTTTTGGGATTCTGAATATGATCGAAAATTAAGATAAGGTTAAATTGGGATGAAAATGGGTTTTTTGTTCTGGGTGTACCAATACTATAGCTTGAAAGAATTCAATAAATGAATTATATCTCCCTGATTAACCAATCCAGCCTAGATCTAGGCTAAAGCTAAATGTGCCAGGTACTTGTTGCCTGTGGAGAGCTTTGCGTAAGTTTTTGCACATTTCTGTTTTTGTTGTTTATTGGCAACGAAAACGAATACCCAGCCAAGCCGAGCCAAGCCAAGCATCTCTATTGTACAAGTACAAGTACAAGTACAACAATTACATGTGCATTTATTTCATTCTGTACGTCGTCTGGTGTGAAAGCGAGAGTGAGTGAGTCCGTGGTACGAGTAGTTGCTGCCGCGTCGCGTTGCTGTTACGGTAAAGTTATGCTCGACGCGTAACTGGGCCAGGAAAAAAACAACAACAAAAACAACAACGAGAAACGTTTACAAAATATTCATTGATTCAAAATGTGGAATTTCTGGGTTTATTGCTTCCCATTTTGTTGCTTTTGCTTTGGGTTTGCTTTGGGTTTGCTTTTGGTATAGTCGCTTGATTGATCAGGCTCGGGCTCTGGGCTCTGACTCTGGCTGGGGGAGTGATGTAATTGGTAGGGAGAGACTCCAGTGAGCCACGATAACTTTATTGTATTTTATACAACACGAGAAGGCTATGCATTTTCCCCTCCACAAAAATCTTTCACTAATGCGCGCAACGCCTCGCATGCGCAATATGGCTCAGGTCTCTGGTTAATTTCTGGTTAACTTCAGCCAGCCTCAAATATTAATAGAGAAGTGTTGGGTTCGTTCGTTCTGCAACCTTGTGTCCGTGCAGTTAATCGGAATTCAGAAGGAAACTTTCAAGCCCAGCACCAGAGAGCAGGGAGCAGCAGCAGCTCCCTCAAAATTTCAGGAGGGGGAGCGCGAATTGAGCCATAAAAAAATCACTTGATCAGAGCCTACTTACCACTCTGCGTGGAGCACTGGGGGGGGAGCGAGCAGCTTGCAACTGGGCGTGGGAAGCGTGCACCAAAGCCAGAGCCACAGCCACAGCCAAACAACTTTATTATGCAAATTGGCTGCGCCTGGACAGAATACTCACTCCTCGCCGTGGTCTCTCTCGGGTCAGACCTTTTCCATCATGATTGTGCCCTAATGACAAGCTACTTAGCCGGACGGACAGCCAGCTTTCTGGCTGTTGAATTTACACGGGGGGGGGAGGGAGCTAGAGAGCCTTCGTGCCAAAGGGCGACATCCAACGAATTTGGTTTATGGGAACAGAAAAACTTCAAGCGGCGGCGTATCCATAGGTTCAAAGAAAGTTTCAATCTTCTGCTGCAACCTGTGTGACTTTACCTAACTGTACTACAAATCCCCATCCCCACATATAGAACTCAATTTTCAAATTCGAATAAACGGCTTGTACTTGTTGTATTCCAGCCAATCCCATTTTACAATAACATATTCCATATATACCGTGCACTTGGCTTCCTGCTTAGATCTTATCGGGCCTGTGGCTGTCGTATGCCACATACATATGACATGGTTCAATGGAGCGATCGGGACCTATGTATTAATTAGTCGATCATGCTGCAGGGGGCGTCGTCTCGCGCTCCCATGGTGGGTGTAGCTGGCTTTCGTAATTGGAAATTAACCACATTTCATATGCCAATCGCTGGCGGGCAAAAGAGTGTTGACAGTGCCACAGTCCACTCAGCTGGCAGCGTAACCAGTTAAGCCGGCAACGGGAATGGGAATGGGAACTGGGAACGGGAGGGGACACATTCTTCACGTAGCACGAGTATCAGTGACAATTAGAGAGCAAATTATGCTAACTAAATAGGCGACGTGCAAAGTCAACTCAAGACTCATAACACACAGCAGGAGGGCCCCCCAGCAGCCCCAGCAGCCCCAGCAGCTCTGGGCGTGGTCCAATCGAATCCAATCCAAGTCAAACCCAGCCAATCCGATCCAACTCGGCTCACCATTGCATAAGTATGGCTGATCAATTTCCCTGCCTTTTCTCTGCCTCAGCCTCAGCCTGCGACTGCGACTGCGAGACTGACAATTATAATTATAGATTATCAGTAGGCCACGAAAGAAAATTCAATTTTGAGGATAATTTTGATTTGCCTCTTGGGTTCGGCATCTGGGTGGGTGGGTGTCCGCCGTGATTTTTGAGCAAACCGCCAAGCCGGCAAGCCTCTGGAAATATGTCACTTGGCTGCCAAACCAAATAAACACTAAACACCGAGAAATGCCTCTGTTGTGGCTGTTGTGGCTTCTCATTGCGTCACGGTAGTTAAAAGGTGTCAATCAATGCCGCCGCTGCGGCTGCATCTGACCAGGCGACCAGCCACGAGCAGACTATGAAACTTGCAACATGTAGCAGACTCCACACTCCCCCTGCTACCCTAACTTGGCCTGCTACCCCATTTGAAGTTTTTAGTGTCAGTCGGGGGCATCATTTGAAGTTTTTAGTGAATCAGTCGGGGGGATCAACATATGTACATATGTATGTATGTAACAGGGAGTGAGCAAGTCGCCCCACTGAAGGAGCATTGGTTAACCGCAGTAACAGCAGAGCAGCAGCGGTAACAGCAGATGAACAGCAGTAACAGCAGAGCAGCAGCGGTAACAGTAGATGAACAGCAGTAACAGCAGAGCAGCAGCGATAACAGTAGATGAACTGCAGTAACAGCAGAGCAGCAGCGGCAACAGTAGATGAACTGCAGTAACAGCAGAACAAGAAAAAACAGCAGATAAGCAGCAAAGGAAGAGGAAGGACACAGCAGAGAAGAAGATCAGCAGAAGGAGAGTAGTAAGAAGATAATCGAAGCAGACGGACGTAGCGTTGAACAGCAGCAGCAGAAAGCAGCCGAGATCAAGCAGCTACAATTATTCTTACCATTACCTGTGCACCGCGATTTAATATCAATAAAACTATGCCTAAATAATAACTTACATGTACACTGTAAATATGGATATGGAATATGTTGATTAGGTAAAACTGCCATCGATAGAGAACTAATTACAGAATGAGAACGCGCTCCTCTACACATTCAACTGAGAGTTGTCCCTCTTGTCCCTCTTCATTCCCATCCCACTATCCACCATCCACCCCACCCGGTTAATGCTAATGCATTTCCGTTTCCGCGGGCAGATTTTTTTTTTATTGTTTCTTTAGTAATTCTTTTTCTTTTTAGTTTCCTTTGGAAGTGTTTGCAACTCACCTTTGGGTCTTGAGATATCACAGAAAGGTTTTTTCGCATAAGCAAATGGGGAGACACTTGTGCTTCTGGTTGTTTTTTTTTTATTTTTAGTAATCGTTGTTGTTGTTCTTCTTCCCCTTCCCCTTACCCTGCTCAGTTTCTCAGTTTTCTTGTTTTAGTGTGAACCAAAAATGTGCAGCAATTTTCCAGCTAGTATTCGTTTGTCTTTTGTGGCTGGTGCTGCTGCTGTTCTGATCTTGTTCCACTTTCGATCTGGTGGTCATATACCAGCTCCGCTTAATAGAGTTCTGTTTGCTGTCTTTATTGTCTCGTGATTCTGATTTTATTTTTATGATTTTTGCAAATTAGTTTCCGCTGTTGTTTGTAGTGGTTGTTGTTGTTGCTGTTGTTCCTGTTATTGCTGGACATGTTTCCGATGGCAGCGGCAGCAACAACATGACGCAGCGTTCAGACGCTCAATCAATGAACTGCAAGAAAATAACCAAAGAAAATAAAATAATTACCATAACGTTTGCATGCCTTATACATAGTTTTATTATTGTATTATTATTATGGAATACTTATAAGTCAGATCATGGAAATAGACTCATGGCTCAATCCAATTAAATATTTTTTTAATGATTTCCGAGAACATTAACCAAATTAAAGAACTGTAGCGATAGCTACAGATGCTTGTGGCAATTGATCAAAAATGAACTTTTCATTGAGCGTTTAATTATGTTAAGCCTAATTCCCTTCCCCCCCCCCAAATTTCAGCTTAAGTTCGGAACCGCGCACAGAAGTAAAAGAAGGCGAAAGGCGGAAGCAGATCGATTCCGCAGACTCGCAGACTTTCTTGGCAGCTGGGGGACTGAGGCTGCAGTCGAATCGATGAAACACCTGGGAGATTGTCACAATCCGTTTGGATGAATGTCCAGCATGTTGATGGTGCACTCACACACTGGCACTCACTCACACATTCGCTGCTGCCTTCCGTTCCATTTCATTGCGTTTCTCCCAACCCATCCCATCCTATACCATACCATCCTAGTATTCCCCATTCCCCATTCCCCTTCCCTTTTTTACAGCATACTAAAAATAAATAAAAAATGGGCTGCAGTTTTTTGTTTGTTCGTTGAGTACATCAAAATTACATTAGGCCGCATAGAAAACATATCGATATATACCATGGGTACCTATGAGTATGTACGAGCATGTACATCTGTATGTATGTATGGAAGTTGTGCGAGTGTACTGACCTATATATGTATGTATTAACGGCTGCCAGCGGACTCATACTGCAGCTGACTGTGATGTGTTAATTAGTCAAATGTTGGTCAACACACTTGGCTTGGCTTGGCTTGGCTGGGGGTTGGCTGGGGGTTGGCTTGGCTTGGCTATGGGTTGGCTGGGGGTTGGCTTACTTTGTGTGACTTTTGGACTGCACTACGAGTAGGTGTGAGGGGTGGGGTGGCTATTGAGAATAATGTACTCCCATAAATATCATCCTAAAAATATTGCTCAATTGGCGAATCAATCAGCCGAACATGGAGAAATGGCACCATTGTTGCTTCTTTTTTCTGCTCTCCTGCGTGTCGTTCTTTTACATGGCAAGAGCAGAAGTAGGATAAGAGACGCAAAACCAGAAAACAAAAAATACAACAAAAAATACATATATAAAAATGATTTAATAAGTTGTCGAGCAACAACAACCGGATGCCAAATCTCAGAGTCCAAGTCGAGGCTGAAGCTGGGAGCAGAGAAAATGTTTTGCAATTTCCCTAAGATTTCCATGTGTCTGCCTGTCCGACCCCTCCTGCTGCCACCTGCTGCCCCCTGCTGCCACCTGCTGTCCGGCTTTCCGTCTGTATGGCATTTTGCAACTGGCAACCGGCAAGCGGCAACTGGCAAGCGGCAGCCGGCCAAGAGGCAAGGGGAAACTGTGCGTGTGCCACGATCTTTGCTCCATGTAGTTCCTCAATGAAACGGCACTTGAATGCTCAATTTTATTGCTCCCTCTCCCTCCCTCCCCGCTCTACGGCGCAAACTTTGAGCTCCAATAAATTGAGGCAAAGCAAAGCCTCTTAATTGATGTTTGGGGCTTATCGTCAAGCGTCTGTCTCACTGCCTCCGATAGAGGTGTTGATGATGTTCATCAACATGAGCAACAACCAACAGCAGCAGCAGCAGCACCTGATTTACTGATTTACGAGTTCCGTTGACAGAGGCTGGCTGGCTGGCTGGCTGGCTGTGCCGCCCGCAGTGGATGCCACTCGACTCGACTCGACTGTTTTCCTGCACTCAAATCAAAACCATTCATGGGCAGACAGACAGACAGCTCCACTGGTTGACCCCACTGGCAGCTCTACCAGCTCTACCAGCAATAATTGTTTTCTTTTTATTGTTTAATCACCTGCCTGACGCCGGCTCTTTGATTTGTGCCGTTTCTCTTCATGCATAATAGAGATATGTACTCTATGGGCAGGTGGACCGCAATCGGAAGGCCCAACAATCTTTGATTCCGATGGGGATCCCAGCATGATTCGACAGAAAACTTGTTTATCGGCCATAGTAGAGCGCTCTGGTGCCCCCTTCGACCGGCGCATTCCATTGCGAGCCCAATTTACAGGCTTACATTTACCTTTTACCATTTTTGACTGGTGCTGGTGATCTTTTTCAAGGTCAATTTCTTTCGGTTCAGATAACCAGTTTACTGCCGGCTATAAGAGGACTACGAGGAACACGAAAGGGACACTGGGGACAAGAAGTTCCTTGGCAGAGACTCATCACATCATCTGTGAGCTGCGCTACCTCGACCTACATCAATTGGCTGATAAAGCTGCGCACTCGGAAACTTTTCTTCAATCCTCAGTCCTAAATGGTGACTACCAAAAGGGATGCCATTTGATAAATGGTAGCTAGATGTGGCCCACTTTGGCGATCTGGTTGGCTGCCAGACACAGCTCGCCCGAGGAAGGTGAATCCCACAGCAAGCGTGGCAGAGACGCTCGCCAAGTGGCGACGGGGGCCAAATGTCAGATCGCAAAACTGAACAAAGACTTCGCCCGACAACAACTTTCCCGCCGTCAACAATGGGCAGCAAACTGTCAGGTGGGCGTGGCCAGGTGTTCCCATGTGCCACAGCAGAGTCGAGTGTCTGAAATGTATTAGCTGCTAATGACAAGTGCCGGGTAGGTAAGAGTGCCCCGCCGGAGAAATCCATGCCGTGAAAGCTGCCTAGCAAACGACTTTTGCCAAAAAAAATATACCCATATACCCACAAACATACATATGTACATATGTATGTACGAGGTCATGGGAAATTCTGAAATTAAACAACTAAGAACGAAGAAAGGAAAACGGTGGGCCAGTAAGACAGTTGCTAGGAGCCCCATTTTCATTCGTAAATGGTGATCTTGATCGCGAGTTGCGGCGACTCTTCGACCCCCCGACAAGAGCACTTCTTAGGCTATATATAAAAATACTAAAAATTAACTTGAACATTTAAACTGTACCAGAAATACGAAAGACTAAACAAAAAACGAAAAATTTGAGCTGTAGATGCTGGCATGTAGAATCTACATTGTAAATGTTATTATAATTCATATATATAATTCGTACAAAATACATTTTCGCTTGGGTTGAGTTTGAGTTGGTCGCAACCCACACAGACATGGACTAACGCACTAAATGCTGGGGGTAGATCCATGGGACATGAGACATGAGACATGATCATTATGCAGATTTATGACTTCAACACTTGAAACTGATAGTGTGTGACCAGTTCTCTCGCGCCTCTCCTGCCGCCCTGCAGCCCCACCCCTCTCGCACGAATTGCTGTTAACAAAGTTGTTTGTTTATGAGGCGCTTTGCTTGAATTATTACTGGAAATTAACAACAATTTAGCGGTTTAGACTTGTCGCCAGCTCCAATAATCATTAGCAACGACACTTGCACTCGCACAAAAGTCGGATGTGTGCGAGTAGAGCACCAGAGAGATACGAGTAATATGCATACAATATTTATATTAGCCAATAAGCCAGCATATGTATGTATGTATGTATGTATGTTTCCCATATCTATGTAGGCCTCGCGGTTAGGCCAAGTGGGCGTCTCAAATTGACTTTAATTAATCATTTTGTCATAGTTCTCAGCTCTCCAATTAAATTCAATTTGAACTAGCCAAGTGGTCTGGTCTATGGGTAACGGGTATCGATCGATCGATCGATCGTTCGGCCCAGTCTCAGTCTCAGTCAATTTCTCTAAGGTATGAAAAATAATAATTAAACCATTACAAAGTCTGGCCTCACCTCGAACCGAGTGCTAAGCGCTCCAATTGGTTTCATATTTTATTTTATTTTATATTATAGTTTTGGTTATTTTTTGGTGTTTGATTGGCACAGATTATGGGATGCAACTGTTTTGTTTTCGTGAAAATAAAATGGATTGGTCTTGGGGCGGGGCAGAGGGTCTAACAATGCCCTGTAGGCCCAAAAAAGGGTTGGGTTGGGTGGTGCTCCGTGGGCAATGGCTACCAATTGATGGTAAGATGGTTAAGATCTTTAGAATAAGCAGCAAGGATTGGGGTGCATGCATACATAGGTATATATTATATAGGTATTATAGGTAATATTGTACATATGTAAGGCCTAGAGCTTGTGAGTTGCATTACATCGTTACTTATTCATTTTGTTCTCTAGCCCAAACATGGAAATAAATTTGTTCTTTTATTTCTTTTTCAGAATTTTTCAGAAACAAATTGCCTGTGTCCCACCATGCACCATGCACCATGCCGCATGCAGCAGTCACAGGTTGCGTGAGCTAGTTTTCCTGTCTGTCCCCCCCCACTATCTATGGCATGTGTGTCGACTGCAATTAAGTTTTAGTATCGAGAAATGTGACCAGCCCAGAGCCAGGCCAAGAACTAAGCAACCAGCTCTCCGCTCTCCCCCCTCTGCCTATGCCCCTGCCCCTGCTGGACCGCCTTGTATTTGTCGTTTGTCTGGTTTATTGCACTTTTGGCAGCCAATATTTATTAACCATAATTATCGGCTGCCGTAGCTGGCTCTGGCTGTTCTAACAGTACACGATCTTTTGGGCACGGCTTCCGGGCCATGGCGGGCGGGCCACATGCAACATGCAAATGACTCGCAAAGGCCTGGCCTGGCCTGGCCTGCCTTGGCTCACAGTCGATTCGCACTGGCAACTGATTCGAATTGATTGGTGCAATGGAAAGGAGTAAAGGAAGGATGATTGCATTATGGCAATGTCAGCCATAAAAAATGCCAGCTCATCTGGCACCATTCAAGTCATCGAATGAAAGACCTGAGAGATCCGAACAATCCATCTTTCTGCGCGGAAATTATGACGCGCTTTTCTTTCACTGGCATTGAATGAGCCAAAGGTACCAAAGTGAATGTCTGCTGCTGCTGCTGCTGCTACTGCTACTGCAACAGTAGCAACTTAAAGTCAGTTTTGTGGCAGGTGG